AAAGGTAGCAATTTTCTAGGGAGGTGCACCTTCTCTTGTGCACAACAAAATAAGGAATTGATTGTTGCTTTCGATTGTGGCGCGATGAAAATTCCAATTCATTGCCAAAAGACAAGCTTCACGGATGATTGCTACCTCAGAATAAAGGCTTGACACTGTTGAAACAGAGAGAGACACTCCATCCAAAAGACACCCAATTGCGTCTCCGCACACCANTCACGGATGATTGCTACCTCAGAATAAAGGCTTGACACTGTTGAAATAGAGAGAGACACTCCATCCAAAAGACACCCAATTGCGTCTCCGCACACCGCTCCCACAGAAGCTCTAGAGATGCTAGGTTTGAATGTGTCATCACAATTGAATTTAACAGAGTTTTGTATTGGGGGGAGCCACTGGGGGGCATGTATAGCTTCTTGCAGATCAGATTTGGAGAGACAACTAGACACAGGGCATCTAGAGTAGTTATATTCTCCCTATCCTAATCTAGCTCTTTTGATAGCATTCAAAGGGTCAGGTGGTTGCTATTGAAAGATGGCTTCATTGCTAATTTTCCATATGGTCTACTCGACGAAAACNGCAGATCAGATTTGGAGAGACAACTAGACACAGGGCATCTAGAGTAGTTATATTCTCCCTATCCTAATGTAGCTCTTTTGATAGCATTCAAAGGGTCAGGTGGTTGCTATTGAAAGATGGCTTCATTGCTAATTTTCCATATGGTTTATTCGACGAAAATAGCTTTCCCCAGAACTTTCACAACTTACCTATAGTCTGTCGTTGTTTCTAGTAGTTTTGCAGTCCACTGTTTGATGGAAGTGACTCCTTGCTAGACCGATCTAATCCCCAAATCACACCCAAAACACACTCTATGAGTCCATTCACAAGAAAAGAGTAGGTGTTCAACTGATTTTGGCTCTGAATTACAAATCCCGCATATAGGAGAAAGCAAACATTTGCATCTAAACAAGTTTTCCTATGTCGCTAGAGCATTGGAGCATGCATTCCACCAAAATTGCTTAACTTTCGAGGTCGCTGTAATTTGCCAAATAAACCTCCAAATTTTTGGAAGTAGAGAATCCGGGGAGCTTCCTTGGTTTCTTGACTTCAACTATTTCTCCCATCAAGCTACAACATATATTGACTTAAGTGAATACATACCCTTCAAATTGGGATGCCAAATCAATTGGTTAGACCCCACAAATTTAGCTATAGGGATTTTGATAATTGTTTCCCATTCCTCAGTCCTAAACAGAGTTCTTAAGATATCCATTAGCATCTTCCACCAAAAAAATCTCGCATTTAGAAGGCTTAATAGACGTGATTCTGAAATTTGGAAGAGTGGATACACATTTATCCTCCCAAAATTTGATCTTGTTCCCGCTGCGGACTTGCCAACGTAAAATTTTCTCTAGTAGTTCCCTACCCCAAAGAAGACTGCTCCACATCCATGACGGTTTAGCACCTGGTCTGGACTATAAAAAATATGTTTTAGGGAAATAAATAGATTTCATGATATGCGCCCAAAAGGAATTAGGATTTTGAATGAGTCGCCACCCTTTCTTTGCCAATACCCCCTTATGCCTTTAGGAGAGTCAAATCATCCCACTTCCTCCAATGGATTCTATTACCCTCTGAATTCCTTTCCCACCAAAACCTCCTCACTAGGGAATTGATTTTCTCACAAAATTTTCGAGGGAAAGCTAAACATGTTGTAGCATAACTAGGGATTGTNTGAATTCCTTTCCCACCAAAACCTCCTCACTAGGGAATTGATTTTCTCACAAAATTTCCGAGGGAAAGCTAAACATGTCGTAGCATAACTAGGGATTGCCTATACCACTACCTTAATCAAGACCTCCTTACCAACTTAAGAAAGGTATGCTTTCTTCCATCCTTGAATCTTCTTCATAACCCTTTCAACCATGTAATTAAAGGTCTCTACTTTAGAATGACCCCAAAAGGATGGGATACCCAAATATTTAGCATTACTTGGTAAAACTTCAATCTCCAACCTTTCACTCAAATGATTTCTTTCCTTTGGTGGCGTATTTTTTGAAAATAGCACTCCCAATTTCTAGAAGTTAAAAGCTGTCTCGATGCTTCGCAATATCTGGATAAGGTACTCCTTAAGTGACTCCCCTCCCTCTTATTTGTCTTCAAGAAAATGAGATAGTCATCGAAAAAAAGTAGGTGGGATAAAATAGGACTCCTTCTTTTGATTCATATACTCGAGATCCTCTCTTCATTGCAGATCTTTATAGATAAGCCTAGAGAGAGTGTATGCTACAAGAAAAAAGAGATAAGGAGAAATTGGGCCACCTTTTCTAAGCCCCCTTTCTGGTAAAATTTTGCAAATGGCAGCCCCATTGATCAACACTTCAAAATTCACCGTAGTAACACATTGCATGATGAGATTAATCCAAGTAGCATGAAACCCCGACCTCCTCAAAATTGCTTCCAAGAAATCCCATTCAACTTTATCATAGGCCTTGTTGAGGTCCAACTTAATCGCCATTAGCTTCTCTCTACCCGATTTAATTTTTAGGCTGTGAAAAGCTTCATTTACAATAAGTTTATTGTCCTGAATAAAAGAATTGGGAAACAAAGCTTCATTTTCAATAAGAACTTGTGAGAATTGTTTGAAGATAACGCCAGATGAAAGTCCTCAGATGAAGTTGATTTTCTTCTCTTACACCCACCATCATCCTATTCCTCCTTACTTGTAAGAAAAACAGAGGACTTGTGCTTTAGACATAGTTTTTGGAAAACTTGGGCCAAAGTTTTCTCAACACCCTTAGGCTTAAGGGAAACAGATCGAGCGAGCTTTTTTTTTGTTTATGATATCTGCCTCTTGAGACACTGGGTCAACAGGTACCAAAAGAGGCCTTGGGATGGTTAGTTTCCGGATTGCTTCGCCTATTGGCTTTTTAGAGGCTCGATAACAAAATAACCCAGTTTACTTGGGCTTATTTCCTCTATAACTTGGGTCTGATTATCAGCTCAAGGGGTTACTTCAGATGTTATAGGTAATTCCCCTTTCTCCTTGTGCCCCTTTGGAGTGGATAAGACGACAACTGCTTCATCACTGCTCTTGTTTGTCTGTCTATCTACTGAGAATTCCCGAGTGTGAGGCTGAACTCTTGGGAGAATGGCTACACATGGAAGGATGGCAATGGATGGGGGGTTCTTGTACACGTAGGAGCTCACACCACCAACTGACAGTTTGTTAGGGTTGTCCTTTGTTGCAACGCGACCACCTCCTGCCTTCCCATGTTCACATATTTGACATGCTGGTGGCCGTTGGCCTTCCCCAGTCCCTTTCTTGTATCCCTTGGTTCTAGAAGTTCCACCTATGGTAGCTTCTTTTTCTGACCAATTTTCTACGAAAAAGGAGTTAAAGGGAGTCGTTAGAGCCCTCAAATTAGGTCCAAAGTTCACTTGATCCTCAATTTGTTTTTGTAGATAGAAGTTTCTTCCATGGCCAATTCGACCACAAAGGTAGCAGAAATCCGACAACCTTTCATACTTGAAGCTAACCCATGTGTCATCAAGGTTTTTGTGCATCAGGTAGAAGCCCTTCTTAAGTGGCTCTGTTATATCAATTTCGCAACGAACAAGCAGGTAATTCCTAGTTAGAAGTAACTCCTCTTCAAAATCTTCTAACTTCGTTGGGGTTCCCAGAAATTCGCCTAGTCTCTAGAAGTTGTTTTTGGTAATTGCATGGGAGATTTCCTACAATAGTTTGAGATAATGACCTTCAGCTTGGTGGATCTGCAACAGCCACAGGGTCAGAAAAAAGGGGGCCAGGTGAACACCTGGCTTGTCCCCTCCGAAGTTTAAGTCAGTTTAAGATTGGAGGCTCAAGCTCAATGCATATAATATTTTTGGTTCAATGTTGGGTACCTTTGTTCATTTTTTTGAGGAGTATTTATACCTGAATTAGATATGAGTGCAAAGACTTTAAGTCTTATCTGAATATTCAATGTCTGACACCTTTTCCCAAGAAGATCTGAATGTTCTCCCTCAAGATCTTCACTCATTTAATGTAAGGATGCTAGGACAAGTGCTCGGGGACAAACCGAGCATCTATGGCTATTCTCGAGCACTCAAGTGTCTATGATCAGCATCTGACACCTACTTCTAGGTTTTAATGCTCGGGAGAATAGTATCTCGAGGTGTACCAAGGAGATACACTCAGTGTATAAGCCATTAATGTCTAGCTTCATGATCGCAGGCCTAGGGTTTGAGACTATAGGGTCTTATTAATGACATTGTCTCCATCACTCGCTTCGCCATAAATAAATGGTCAAGTCGCATTAAATGCAGGTGTCAGTTCGAGCACTCTGCTCCTCTAAATCGTTACCTCTCGACTCGGCTCCTCGGCACCCTTTGAGCTCTACAACGGCTACAATTTTACACGTGTCGATTCGGGGGTTGCTGAACCGCCTTAAGCCCTGCCAATTGCCCCCCAGCCTTTGTTCTTTTTTGTGGTGTGGGACAGGTGGCGCAAGGAGACTGGAGGCTTACCGAATACGCCTCATCAATAGCGACGATTTTTTGCACGTCTGGCACCACCCTTTTCAAATCTCCTAATGATGACTTGCCTTTTCGATTCCCGCCCCTTCCAGTAGGGTATAAATAGGAGATGTTTGAGCCTTTTCAGAACTTTTACATTCTCAGCTTCTCTTCAGCAATCAGCCCCCGAGAATTCCTCTTCCACCTTTCAAGCACTCCTATGTTCTCTTTCGAGTTCCCTTCCTAAAAACCCTCTTCCTGTAAGTACTTCCTTTCAAGTTTCTTTCTCACTTCTTCTATATTTCTTCTCTTTAGAACCCACAAATGGCTAGAACCCGTAGAATAGTCGAGAGAGCACCTACCAGGGCTAGGGCCAACCGTAGACCAAGCAGAACTGAGGTCAATGAGGAAAACATAGATGCCTTTAGAGCCAGATATCGAATCCTTGAGCGTGTTTTCACTTTTTCCTTCAACCCCCTTCATCATAGCAGGGACCTAGGATGTGTTGCGATGATGCCTTTCTGGACAAAGGCCATTATGGAAGGGGTTGACCTTTCCCTTTCACCCCCTGGTACTTAGAATGTTGATGCAATTGAGGCTTTTTCCTCTCTAATGTGGTGTCAACTTCTTTAGGATAGTGATGGGCGTGGTTACCCTCAATGCTCAGCTTGGGGTTAACCTAAGGGTAGATGAGATCTTGTTTTGCTATGATTTAAGATTAGTAGCAGTGGGCAAGTACTGCCTTCAAGCCCAAGAGACCTTAATGTATTTGGTGACCCACATGTCTGACTCGGACAAGAGATACGCGGACGATCTAATCATGCTCGGTGAAAGTTGAAAGAAAGGAGATGGGCCCAAGTATGATGGATTGTACTGTCCCAAGGTGCCGAGGGATGAAGGTGTGTCTTACATGTATTTTGGGATTTGTTCTACATCCTTTCCTCATCATTACTAACCTTTGTTTTATCTTTGCAGAGGGTTATCGGCAGGACGTTGCTCAACCACTTAGGTCCCAAGTCAGATTTGCAGACCTGCTGAAAGTTTGGTCCCACGACCCGATGGATCGAGCCTCACACACACTCCTCGACTACGTACCGACTTACTCCCACTTCTCTCAATTCCCTCCACCTTTCTACCCTTTGGTGTGAGAGGATCAGACTTCGTCGAAAGAGGAAGAGAAGGAGGAAGAAGACCTTGAAGTGGACCTCGATTGCGATTCGAAGCACACGCCATCACTAGAAGACATGTTCAATCCACCACCTATCATTGCTGCAACAATGGAGGTCATCGCTGCGGCGAGGAGAGTAAGGCTCTTGGGACTTGCCGGGCCTTAAACCGTCACCCCGATCATCCTGTCGCCGGCCTCACCAAGGAGGGAGTTATACCCGTCGCCACCACGTCCTCAATCATCCAAGGACCTAATTGTCCTGCCATGGGACAAGGCTCCAAGTCAACAAGTCCCCCCCCTCGGGGGATCAACAAAGGGATAGGAGGGGCCGGAAGCCCGAGGGGGTTGAAGAGCGTCGACAGAAATGCCGACTTGACGCCCTAGGCCCGATTACCTCTACCGAGTGAGTGGCCCGAGTAGAGACCAGGAGGAGACGCCCCGTGCTGGAGGCGGACTCTATCCTTCAGTCCCCCAATGTGGCCTTTGCAGTCACGGGGACTCTACAATTTTAGGCCGACATGGCCGTGCACCAAGGCCTTGGAGAAAACAAGATTCTCCAAAATGTCATTCAAAAAAACTTGGTGGTAAGTGGGGTCTCTCTTAACCTTGTTTCATTTTGCCTATATGACCATCTCTAACCTAAGTCTTTTTCATTCTCAGACCTGCCAGTAGATGGGGGGTCATCATTGAACGCTTTTGGGGGTACAAGCAAGAGGCCAGGAATATCGAGCGGGCCCTCACCACCAAAGACGAACACATTAAGGCGGTGGAGAGGACACTTGCTGACCAGACCCACCAGATCGCCGAGCTCATCCGCTATCGTGATGCCCTTGCTATTGACGTTGAGAAGATGAAGGCGGGTGAGGCCGAGGCCATCAAGAGGCCGAGGAGTATAAGCTTCGGGTGTCTGCTGCCGAGGTCAAGCTCTTGGACTCTAAGGCCATCACCAATGAGTTGACCGCCAAGGTTGATGCCCTGGCTTCGGAGAGGGTGAGGGAATAAGAAAGGCTACAACAAGAGTGCCAGAGAATGTGGCTGGCTACTCAAGATCAGATGGTCCCCACTTTCGAGGAGGCGAAGCAGAAAGCCTACAAGGAAGGCTGGGATGATGCTTTACAACCTGTCGTTGTTAACTCCGAGTCGGAGTTATTTCAAATGTACAACGTCCTCGGGGAGCCTGGAGAAGAGATTCTTCCTGAGGAACCTACTAACTCTGAGCCCGTTCAAGCTGTGACCAAGGACAAAAATAAGCCCATCACACTTAATGATGGCTCTGTTCAGCCTTCCCCTACCCTCCCAACTTTACCCCCCGTCGAGCAAATTTATGATCTCCCTCCTCTCCCGCCCCCAATCATCATGGGAGAGCATGACACCGAGCTGGATGAGATACTTGGGGTTGGGGAGGAGTCATTAAGGCGGCGGTGCGGTCACCTCTGCGGCAACGAATATGGTGGTGGGGAGTCCGTGGGCCCAGGTCTTAGGGGTCCTTAGTTGTTTTGCTTGTACCTCTGCTTTTGTTACTTCTGTGTTTTTATGACTTCTTTGTTGTTGTAACTTCTCTATATGCCCCGGGGACACAAAGCCCCATTTTGGAGTTAATGAAACTTCTTTTTCCATGTATATGTTCTTTCAATTTTTCTCTTATCGACCGCTCAAGGATCATACCCTTTGGTCTCAAACTAGAACTAAAGTTATAAGTCAATAATGACCTCTAGAGGTAACATAAAAGTGAAAATCATTGGTTGTAAGAGAAGTTCTTTAATAGGTAACACAAAGGAATTCTAAGTGTTGATCTTGTCTATCCGGGAATGATGCCCCTCGGGGCCGAATATCTTAACTGTCAGGCCCCTAACGACCGAGCACTTGGCTCGTTCATTCGAGGGCGTTGCTCCAAGGATGAAGTTTTACACCCCTCGAAGTCATGCCCCTAACGACCGAGCGCTTGACTCATTAATCATTTGAGGGTGTTGCTCCAAGGGTGGAGTCTTACATCCCTCGGGGTCGTCCCCTTAATGACCGAGTGCTTAGCTCATGTTAATTATTCGAGAGCGTTACTCCAATAGTGGAGTCTTACACCCCTCGGAGTCATGCCCCTAACGACCGAGCGTTTGACTCGTGTTAATCATTCGAGGGCGTTGCTCCAAGGGTGGAGTCTTACACCCCCTCGAGGCCGTGTCCCTAATGACTGAGCGCTTGACACATGTTAATCATTCGAGGGCATTACTCCAAAGGTGGCGACCGAGCGCTTGGCTCATGTTAGCAATTCACTTAGAAGCAAAGCCTAACATCCAGCTTAATAGAAGTATTTCTTCAAATTTGATACGTTCTAAGGCTGGGTTACATCATTACCATCCATACTTTGCAACCTGTATGCACCTGTTCCCCCAACAGAGATCACTTTGTAAGGGCCTTCCCAATTGGGACTAAGTTTCTCATCAATGGGTTCCCGAGCATTGCCCACCACTTTGTATAACACCAAATCTCCAACTTGGAAATTTCTCAGTCGGACCTTCTTCTGGTGTTGTCTTGATAGTTACCCTTGGTACCTTGCTAATCTGATAGATGTCAACGCTTTTCTTTCTTCAGCTAAATCGAGATCCCTAGCAAGCGTTTGATCATTGTTTCCCAATTCAAAGGCTTGGCTCCTTATCGTT